GAAATTAAATATCCAAAATAATTGATTTTCCAAGAAGAATTTTAATATTTACGAGAATATTTGAATTCTCAAATATTTTTTCGTTAAAGTTTATTAAAATTTTATTAAAAATAATTCAATTCTTATATAGAAAATTAGAAATTCACTAAAATTTTTAAAAATAATTGAATTTCTGGGAAGAATTGCTTTAAGAATTTTGAAAATAATATTCAATTCTTTTAAGAAGTCATTTATTCAAAATGTACTGAAAATAATTTAATTTCTGCGAAAAATTTTTAAAAAATTTATAAAAATAATTGCATTTTTTGGGGAATACATTTAAAATTGTATTAAAAATTTAAAAATAATTGAAATTCTGAGATAAATTTTATTATTTATGAAAATAATTACATTCTTGCAAAAAATTTTATAGAAATTGTATTTAATTATTGATTTTAATGCAAATATTGTATGAAAATTGTATTTTAAATAATTGAATTACGAATTGTATTAAAATTTATTATTAAAAAGTATTAAATTAAAATAAATAAATTAATTAAAATAAAATAAATTAAAATTTATTAAAATAGTTTTACGACAATAATTGTAATTATAATCGTATTATGACAATAATTGAATTTCTGCGAAGAATTTTATTATTTACGAGAATAATTGAATTCTTACAAATTTTTTTCGACTAATTTTATTTAAATTTTATTGACAGTAATCCAATTATTTACAAAATTCTTGAAAATAATTTAATTTTTGCAAAGAATTACATTAAAATATTGTTAAAAACAATTGAATTCTTTTAAAAAATGTCATTCAAATTGCAAGTAAAATAATTGAATTCCTGCGAAGAATTTTTTAAAAAATTGATTTTCTTCGTAAAAATTTAGTAACAATTGTACACGGAAAAAATTATAAAGTAACTTTTACTACTTTTATAGTAAAAAATTTCCGGTCAAGCATTTCTGGTAATTTTTACTACTTTTGGAGTAAATTTTGCTACGTTCGAAGTAAATATTTGTAAAAATTAGTAAAATTTATTTCGAACGTAGCAAAATTTACTCCAAAAGTAGTAAAAATTACCAGAAATTCTTTACCGGAAATTTTTTACTATAAAAGTAGTAAAAGTTACTTTATATTTTTCTCCGTGTATGTTAAATAATTTATTTCCTACAAAAACTTTATTATTTATGAAAATATTTGAATATTTGCAAAGTATTTTATAAACATTCTTTTATAGAATTGAATTGATGTAAGAAATTTTATTGAAATAGCAGATATTAAAAATAATGGAATTTCAAAAAGTTTTTGAAAATAATTGAATTATTTCTAAAAATTTTACTGAAATTTTCGAATAATTTTAATTTTAATAAATTTTAATAATTTTTTATTTCAACTTTTAACGAATTTAAAGTTGTGCAAATTCTCAACAAAAAAAAATAACAAAAAAGTAGCTTTTAGTGTCTAAATCTAAAAAAGTATTCAAATAGTATCAAATCGTAAAAAAGTAGTAAATAGTTGCTTTTAGTAGATGAGTGTAAAGTCTGTAAAAATCAAAATAGTTATATTTATAGTGTGAATTTTTAGAAATAATTAAATTTCAAAAGTGTTTTAAATTGAAATCTTTGAAAATTGTAATTTTGTTGCATATATCTGTAATAATATTAAAATATGTAATTTTAAATAAAATGATCAAAATTTGCAATAATTTTATGTAGGATATTTCAACAATTTCAGAAATAGTTTTTCAAAAATATTTTAAAAAATATTTAAGCTCCCATGAAAAAATAAAGCTTGATTTATTCATTTAATGAATTAATTTAATAATTATGAACATTAGGGACTTAATTATAGGAAGAGATTATAATAATAGATAGTAGATGAATAGTCGACAATAATAAATCAATTCGTGGCTAATGGGGGGGAATTTGATCTGAATTAGCAGAAGCTCATTACGATCTACATGCTATTAAATTCGCACCTCTAATTCGAGTAATCCTGTAATACATGATTGGGAAGGTCTTAAGTGCAAAGCACTGTATTTGAAACAAGTTAGTACAGTACATGCTGGGGCACAATTATTCCTTCATTGCCACTGAAATTTACACAAGTCTCATAACTGAGAAACCATAACGATACCTCGTTTATACATAATTAGCATAATATTATCATCATCAGAACTTGACTCACATTATTATTATTATTATTATTATTGATACTCGAATCAATTTTAATTTTTAGGAAACCTAATGATTAGAAAAAATAATAGAAATAGAAGATAATTTTCAGTTTTGAATAAAAATTTCAAATTCCTTTCTTTAATAATGTGAAATAATTTGTTTGGCCAATGATTAGGGTTTACGTTGATTTCATAGTAGGCAACATTTTACGTGACTCCAGTGGTGCATTAACGATGAAACGCATTCATTTTTGTTGTGTGATTGTGTGTATGCGTTGGAAGTAAAATCTCTTTTTACAGAAGCTACCTTTAACTCCTCCATCAAGGAGAAAGTGACGTGCAATCAGAAATAATAGTTAACTTGTGAATCTTATAATGTCCACCATAGTTCTGGCATTTAGCATTTATGTTTTCACATATGTTAAAATGTCAATTTCTAGGGAAAAGAAAACTAAGAGTCGGTTAGTTTGGTATTACAATAGAATGGAAGATTTTTTAATGAGTTATGTAATGTTTGTTTAGATTACGTTATAACGATTTTCTGCCTTGACTGTATATATATTCATATTCGATCTTTTGCTTGAGTGAAAATTGATAAGCGTACAATTACCACCGTGAATTTCTCAATTTTAAACAAACATTTCCTTGTATTATTAAAGAAGACCTCGAATAACATTAATTTTTTCGAATTATTTTCGGAAAATGCGACTTTCTTTCCTCATATTGCAACAAAATACCATTTTTGGTGTAAAATGATATACTTAGCTAGTAGTATAGCTAGGCCGGTTCTGGATAAAATCGGTAATGTAGATTCCTACTTACCGACCGAGAGGGTAAGTTACCGACCGTTGGTGGGGTATATGTAGGTAATTTACCGGCCGTTGGTGGGGTACCTCATTTGCATATATTTAAATTAGTTAACCCTTTTAATTGACGTTAGTGGGGTATCTAATTTGCATATATTTAAATTAGTTAACCCTTTTAATTGACGTTAGTGGGGTACCTGATTTGCATATATTCAAATTAGTTAACCCTTTTAATTTGCATATATTTAAATATGTGGCAAAGTTACTGAGCGTTGGTAGGGTACCTGATTTGCATATATTTAAATTAGTTAACCCTTTTAATTTGCATATATTTAAATATATAGAAAAGTTACAGATCGTTGGTGGGGTATCTGATTTGCATATGTAAATTAGTTAACCCTTTTAATTTGCATACGTTTTCTATTGTTTATTATTTAACTTTCATTGTTAACCCTTTTAGTTTATGGAAATTCCTCCCACTATCCACCCTTTTGGACGTAGAATATGCAAATACCACCCACCCTCTTCTATTGCTCTTAGTTAACCACCCCCTCCCTCCCACCCACTTTTTTCCTTTATATATATATTTCCAATATTACCACCCACCACCACCACCCACTTAGTATAAACCAGAAATTTCAAAAATCGTATAGAGAAGCGCGAGGGATTAAGCGTTCGCGAGATACCGCGCAGGCGTTGTGGGTAGTGGGAGTGGGTGGTGGTGGGTGGTGGTAAGGCCCAGTGCGCAGCAAAAGTGCGCGTACGGTTACCGCGTTGAGTGAGTGAAAGTTCCATGCGTCAGACCTGTCTGTCTGACTCTCACAGCTTGCTTCACTAATACTATAACACCATAGGGATAAAAATGTATTGTCCAAAAATATGTAAGCAAGTTTCAACTTGCCTTTTTTCAAGATAACAATAGTATTGTTTGAAAATTTTAAAGCATGTTTCAACCTGCATCTTGAATAGAATAAAGACATTGTCTAAAAAACCTTCAGACAGGTTTTAACATGCCTGTAGATAATAACAAAGACATTCCTTAAGAAACCTTTAAGTGACGTCATTTTCATGCGAGTTTGAACACGTCTTCTAAATGACTCTTCTTTTGAGGTAGTTGCGTGCGCAGTCATTTAAAGTGGGGGTAAAAGAGTGGGAGTTGAAGAAGAGTGGGGTTTACGGGATATAAGGTAGGTTGGAATCAACGATTCGAAACTTCTGTTAAAATTTCTTGCAGCTTTAGCAGTACCAGCAGCTTCAGCATCTACATCAACATTAGCAGTACTAGCAGCTTTAACAACTACATCATCATTTACTCATTTGGTAGGTAAATTTCATTTCTTTAATTAAAACATTTTATATTCCAAATTTTTTTTTCTTTTTCAAATTTAATATTAAAAAATCCATCTTTTTTTTGCTTACAGATATTAAAACAATGGAGTTCCAAAAAGTCAACGCCATTGGTCGTATGGAGAGCTTTCTACCAACGAAGCCACTTTCTGAGTTGACTGTTAATGAGTCATACAATGTAACTAAAATAAACAAGGTGCAGACGAAATATGGTTCTAGGATTGTAGTAGACCTGGATGCTGCATTTACCACTTTTCTGCCGGCAAGGTTCGAAAACTATTTGAAGCTGACCCTACCTCCTTCACAATGATGGAAGAAGCCGTGCAATCGGAAAAGTTGCGATTAAAATATATTGGTGGCAAATTTAATGTTATTGAATTTGAATAAAATATATATTCTAAGGTTATATTGTAAAAAATTATGTAAATATTTAAAGGTTTTAGATAATAAAAAAATTACTTTTAAATTAATTCTTTTATTACCTCACCTTCATATTTCAAATAATTTTTAAATTAATTGAATTTTGTATAAAATTGTATAAGTAAATTTTTATTAAAGTTAAAGGAAAAAAAAATTTAAAGTATATAATATTAAAGGAGTAGGTATATCAAGAAAGATAACCAACATTTTTAAAATTATAAATTTCATTTATTCATATGTATATAGAAAATTAAAACTTATTACAATAGTGTTTCATAATTTTCACAATATGATTTTAAATTAGTATTCACATCATCCACTTCATCGATACCATATGAAAAGTTTCTCAATTCACTTGTAACATTCAAAAACCAATTTCGAAGCTTAAATACATTGTTTACTGCACAATTTTCAGTTTGTGCAATATGATGTGTACATATAAGTGGTAATAATTCAGTTTTAATATTCTTAAACGCTGGACAGTCAATTTTTTCTAAATTGTGTACAATCATTAAATACTTTTCTAACCACTGCTTTTTTTCACAACCTTTAACGTAGATAGTTTTTGCTCCTCGTAAAGCATCTTGTAAAATGGTTCGAACTTCATCGTAGCACACATCTCCAGCCATCCAAGGTATTAAATGATAATTATTCGTCAACCACAGGTTCTTACTTTTATAACGTCCTGGTAGTGAATTCCAAGCACAAGGTGGTTCAAAAAGGTAAACTCTTGGTTGAGCATCTGACTCCAGAGGCACTATAGCCAACTCTTTGAAAATAAACTCATTGCAGGGTTTTTTAAAACCTTGAACGTCTACTATGAACTCCATTTTAGAATAGAAATGAGTATCTGCTTCAGAAATTTGTCTTACATACGTCTCCACTTCATCCTCCACACCACTTTGTTTCCCTCTCCACTTCTTATAACTTATTAATAATCCCAATGATTGGTTCGTACTATACTACACGGTCATGTATAACAAGGCAATATGAAGTTGATTCTTCAGGCAACGTCATTATTCATGTAAAGATCAGTGAATATTTGCATGAAGACTTCCACTGTCACAAGAATACATCTTATTAAGTTTAAAAATATTAATGTAAAAAAGTTATATATATATATATATATATATATATATATATATATATACATATATATATATATTAAAAAACGTTTCTTAAAGTTGACTTGAATTTTCTACAAAGTAAATTCAACTTTTCCAAATGTTAACTTTAACACTCTGTCTACTAATGTGACAGTTGCCATCTAAAATCTTCTATATGAGTTGTTGGAAAGAAATTGATTAATGACACATTTGCATCTACAGTTCATGCTTATACAGAATTCTTTAAAAACGGTTACAGTCATAAGCTTCTGCACTAGCAGTCTGGCATTCTGACTCAGTGAATTGATCACATGATTTCAGCCACATTGTAAGGCTTTACTAGATTTGATAAATGGTTAACTTCTTCAAATGTTAGTTTAAACTTTTCCAAATGTTAGCTTTAACTTTTATAAATGTTAACTTTAACTTTTCCAGTAGTTAACTTTAACTTCCTAAAAGTTAATCTTAACTTTTTCAATAATGCACAGAGAAAAATGGAGTATTCAACAGACTATCTGGAGGGACAAACAGACTATATTTAAGGTTAAATGTTTTGTAACCATCTCGGAGGGATAAATAGATACTTTGATGATCAAGTTGACTATCTCGGAGGAAAAAGTTATCTATCTAGAGAATCAGGCTAACACTTAAAACCTAACCCTCTAACTTTGGCTATCCAGTTTTCTCAGTGTGAAGGAGCAGAGAGAATTCCTTGTAAACAACATATATATATACACGGAAAAAAATTCTTGTGAAATTTACAGGATTTCCTGAGCCATCTATGAGCCACGGTTGATGTATCCACAAACGGTTGAGTTTGGAGAATACACAAACCAAACTGTGTGTGTGTGTTTCACAAACTGCAACAGACGAACTGTAGGATTTCTTGGTGCTATTACAGATTAATTTGTGCTACACCCAAACCAGCTTGTTGGAAACACTACACTGAAAGAAATGCTTTGACATTATCAACAATAAAAGTTTGGTTAGGAAATTTTCAGTAACTTGAAAATAAGGTTCTTTTATTTTAGCGAAACTCATCATAATAACAATAAACACAATTTTGAAAAACATAAGTACTACTTTGGCTGACAAAGTTTTTCAGAGGAAACATTTATTATATTATAATTCTATTTCAAAAATTTATTTATGTCATTTATATAAATGACAATGTCAATCATATTTAAATGTAACTCTGTGATTTGTCTCATTGTTTTACTACAATTTTTATATTAGTTTTGTCTATTCCGTTTTCTGTTTAATTCAACCATACTGAATGTCAGTATTAAGAACCCAGCTTTCGTGAGTGAAACAGGATGTTAGATGCGTTCGTTAAAAGCGTTGTGCGCAGACGTATTTGAAACAAACAAAATGGAATGGCAATATGGTTGTATTAGCCAGAATTATCACAGTTATCACGAATAATTTCTTTCAGTGTCAACTTGCCTGTATAAAGCACAACATAACCTATTCGTATATTCTACAAAAGACCTTGCGTTTTTCATAAGAAATTTTAAAGCGATTTTTTAAAGCGCCTTCTATCTGCATATAAAAAACTTCAAATTGACAAAAGTTTTATCGTTAAGAATAAAAAAATGTATAAGTAAAAACAATTTTTGACTTTTGTATATGAAAAAACAACTGAAAAACTATATAGAATTGTATTAATAACTAAGTCTTAATTTTTTTTTGGACGTAAGGTTCCCTTTACCTCGTGAGGATACATATGAAATTTAAATTACCAGTTAATAAATTTAAACTGAAAAAATTGAATTTCTTTTAAATATTTAAAAATATGGATTCATGTAAAATATATACTACACTGAGAAAGCTTTGGGTCAACAGCAGACTTTCGATAGGCTGCTACTGACTATTTTGGTGGAACGCTATAAGACTATACTTTTGGGTTGCTGCGGTACAATTTTGGGCGCGTGACAGTCCTAAAGTTGTTAAGCTGCAAACCAATGGCGGTATCCCCACTACTTTGGTAAGCTGCTCACCAACATTTTGGACAGTCACACACCCAAAATTGTACGGCAGCACACCAAAACTGTAGTGGAGCCGCTGTCACATATGTTGTTCCGCTACAGTTCCAAAGGTCTCTCAGTGTACATTTTGAGGTTATCATACTTATACTAAGTTAATTAAAAACGATTACAGCCCTAACACTCTAGCATTCTAACTCAGTGAATTGATAACATGGTTTTATTGACATTGTGAGGATTTAATAGATTTGGTAGATGGTTAACTTTTCCAATAGTTATCATTAACTTTTCTAAAAGTTAACTTTAAGTGTTTTCAATAGTTGACCTTAAGTTTTCAAAAAGTTAACTTTAACATTTTCAATAGTTGACCTTAACTTTTCAAAAAGTTAACTTTAACATTTTCAATAGTTAACTTTAACATTTTCAATAGTTAACCTTAACTCTTGTAAAAGTTAACTTTAACTTTTCCAATAGTTAACTTAAACTTTTCAAAAAGTTAACTTTAACTTCTCTAAAAGTTAACTTTAACTTTTTCAAAAGTTAACTTCAATTTGACTGGTATCATTGTTTTCTTAATACCAACAGTATAGTGAAAATACAATCTTTGTATTATAAGGACACAATGATACCAGTCAAAATAAATTTAACTTTTTCAATAGTTAACCTTAACTTTTATAAAAGTTAACTTTAACTTTTTCAATAGTTAACTTTAACTTTTGTAAAAGTTAACTCTAACTTTTCCAATAGTTAACTTTAACTTTTCAAAAAGTTAACTTTAACTTTTCCAATAGTAAACTTCAACTTTTCAAAAAGTTAACTTTAACTTTTCAAATAGTTGACTTCAACTTTTCAAATAGTTGACTTCAACTTTTCAAAAAGTTAACTTTAACTTTTCCAATAGTTAACTTCAACTTTTCAAATAGTTGACTTCAATTTGACTGGTATCATTGTTTTCTTAATACAAACAGTATAGTAAAAATACAATCTTTTTATTATAAGGACACAATGATGCCAGTCAAAATAACTTTAACTTTTTAAATAGTTGACTTCAACTTTTCAAATTTTTTGTCAAATATATAATAATGCACAGTTATAATTACTTTAAAGTACATACTGAATGAGCGCGTGAAGTTTACATTTTATGAAAATAGTGTTATTTTACAAATTAATTAAACAAGAAATATGATATTCAATATTTAAAAAATCATGGTGTCCGACTATAGATGCAACCATTGTTGAGTAGCGCAATGAGTAGCACAAATTTTTGTTGATAATTAATAATAAATATTAAATCTTATACACGGAGAGAAATTTGTAGGAGTGGGTAACCACTCCTATATGGTTAGGGTGACCATCGTTAATGCTACATATACGGACATCCTTGTAGAATGTAGTATACCGTATAGAAATTTCCCTACTTCGCTTTATTTAAAAAGGGGGGCTGATGAGGAATTAGTAAGGCCAACCACACTAATAATTTCTAGATAGGTGATAATCGGACACTGACTATAATGCCCTCATCTTCAGATAGGTAAATCTATCTGGATCTGTTTATATCCCTATTAAATTTTTCAATCCGGCCCTGACTAGAATACCTCTAGTTAAATTCACACATTCTGATATTCTACTCAGGTACTGACAACGCGATCTAGTTAGAACCTCTATTTTTCATCATCAACTGATATTTCAAGCGTGACGAAATTAGATAGGTCGTGATGAATTTTTCTAGTTTGAGACTCACTGGCGAAAGGGAATCTATTGCAGATTTTGTAAAAAGTGTCTGTGTTCAGAGAATACAAATTTCACAAGCTTTCCAACACTTTTAAAAAATTTATTGTGAAATGAAAGTAGCTTGTGTAAGCATTAACCTGTCATTTTAAAGGAAAATTCAATCCTTTAAAATTTTGAGGTTATAAATGGGTGATTAAATTTAAAATGTCATTTTCATGTCCTGCCCAAAAATCTGGAATACTATTTCATATATAAAAGTTTTTGAAGTCAATTAATTTTCTTAATCACTACTTCTACTTAAATTAATAATTCTTAGTCGCTAGAAATTCTCTGAAAAAATTTGGCAGAAGAATTAGAAGCAAAATGTCAGTGGTGTCCCCTGTCCGCACTTAAGAAATCAGAACTTTACGTAATAATAAAAATTTTGATTCTCACATTTTTAGTACCAGAAAAATTATTTTGTACAGCTAAGAGTCTATATTTTTATATAGTAATTGTGCTAGCAGAATAATTTTGATCCAGTGTTAGAAAAAAAATCAAAATCGCCTGTCCGTAAGTTTCATATTTTTAAGTAATTATCGCAAATTTTGAATATCATGTCTGATATTTAAATAACCTAGTGCAGATAATTGCCTTATTAAGCGTTAATAGTATTGGTGATATGTATATAGCTTCTTAAAGAAAAAACATTATAACATTCTATCACATCTATAACTTGTACGGTTAGTGGCAGAAAGCAAGTATCACTTTGTCGAGCACACGATGTCAGTGGTGTCCCTATCAAAAACTTGTTCATAATATTAATATTTTTTAAATATTATTGTATCTCTTTTTCAGGTATTACACGTACTTTAAAAACCGCACCGACTTTAACTTAAAAATAAAGTCTTTCTTTTTCGAAATTGAGAAATGAAGCAAAATGTCAGTGGTGTCCCTTGTCAGTGGTGTCCACTCAAAATTCTGTTTCTTGCAGCTTATTATTTTATTTTTAATAAATTTGTGTTAAATTTACTCCTTATATGCAGTTTATGAAGATATGATACTGGATTGTAATTTATAGGCTGATTTTATTCTCACTATTAAAAAAAATTATCAGTGAAATCTTTCAAAAATGTCAGTGGTGTCCCTCAATGTTCATATGTCTTTTTAGTCTTCAAAAGTATATTAATTTATGGCAGAACTCATTACAAATATTTTTTAAGTCTTGTTGAAACATTTATTATTGTAATTTGAAATATTT